CCAACACATATGGAAAGGAAATTGTTGACATAACAAACATAAGCCCACTTGCAGTTAAAGTGCATATTCTTACTAGGTCCCGACAATTCGACTAGTATTGCCTTGCGTTTGATCAAGCACGAACAACTTTGCCATGCCAAAATCTGAAATTTTGGGGTTCATTTCTGCATCTATCAAGATGTTACTAGCTTTGAGATCACGATGAATAATTCTAAGGCGAGAGTCTTTGTGGAGGTAAAGGAGGCCTCGAGCAGTGCCTACTATGATTTTGTAGCGCCTCACCCAATCTAGTTGTGCACGCTTTGTTGGGTCTGCAAATATATTAATGCAAAATCAAGACTTCAATTACAATGTTTGCTTGCATACACGTCACACAATTGGAATTTTATAATAAACATTCGAAGTTAAACGAAAACAATGCATAATTCCAGACATACCAAATATGATGTGATCGAGACTTGCATTAGGGACAAATTCATAGACAAGAAGCCTTTCACTTCCTTCTAAGCAGAAACCTAAGAGTCTAACTAAATTCCGGTGTTGAAGTTTAGCCACTAACAAGACCTCATTTTTGAATTCTAAATCTCCTTGCCCAGAATTCGCAGAAAGCCTTTTTACAGCTATATCTTTTCCATTGAGTAGCCTACCCTGGAAAAATATATAGGTACGGAATGAAAAAAACATATATAAGTGGCATTCAAGAAATATGAAAGATATAAGTTCTTGTTATTAACTTGTCATTACCCTGTAAACAGATCCAAATCCTCCCTGTCCAAGTTTATTTGCTTCAGAAAAGTCATCTGTAGAAACTCTAATGGTGGCAAAGTCAAATTGCAGGGATTCTGCAGATCCAATTTCATCTGTATCATCGCCGCCTGAGGAACAATTTAACAAAAACTAAATTAAGCAGTTGTAGCATTATAATCTCTAAAAATGCCTACTTGGCTTCCCCATGTCAAATGGAATAATATGATTAATGTTCACTAGAGTTGCCTCCTTACCTGGAAGTAACTTCCTAGTTTCAAGTTTTTTCTCTGTCCTCTTTACTCTTAAACAAATGCAGAAGAATATAACTATTAGTGCCACAGAAACAACAATTGGCACAACAATAATGATGACAGTCCGAGATCTGTTACTCTTCGATCCTGCAAAAATCAGATGTCTCATTTGCATGAATTTGAATACATACATATACATATGAACCTAACAAAACATGCATTAGAAATCTCTTCAACCCAAAATTGTTGTAGTGTCAATGGTAGCAATGGTCCCTGAACTCGTACACCATACAACTACAACAACTAAAAATTGAATTGAGGGCCTAAAATGTAACCCGTGTTCAAATTCATGGACAATTGCTCAAATTAAGCCAACTTTATTTCTTCAAAGCATGACATATTGGGACATATATACGTACCTCCTGTACTGGTTGACGACGACGGCAATGGTGGCACAGTTGTAGGGTCATAGAAGCGAGAGATCTCATACCTAACATTACAGCTGGGATTAACAACTCTACCACCTTGCTTCCCCTCACAACATTTTGGGATATCTTCCAAAGCACCAACCAAACAATCACTGCAGGCCTGCTCGGCCAAATCCGGCGTGCACTGCGCAAGTCCATATATTGTTTGGAAATTGGGGGCTGTTGCGGTCCCTACCGCAAACTTTCGAAGCGAACCGTTCGCCGCAGCTTGACCACTTAGGTCCTCCAGTAGCCTCCTCAGCTCTTGAAAAAACCCGTCGACGTCGGAGGAGGACACGTTCTGTGGGTTCCACAGCCAAAAAGCAGGAGCAGCTTCCATGGCGCCGTAGACGGAGCGGTTTGCATATCGAAGCATGCACTCGTCGTAGAACCCGAAAGCTTCCTTCTGATTGGGACAGAGCTGTGTGAGCTTTTGTGTGGAGTTGCTGAGGCAGCCACGGCAAGTGTCCCCCATGACATCTCCTCGACATAGCGCAATTGCGTGAACCTCATCGGCGTTTTCTCCGTAGGATGAGTTGTAGAAGCCGTAGCCATTGCCGTTGTTGGAGGGGGAAGAAAGAGAAGAGAGAAGGGTGTTGAGGTTTGTCTGGTAGGTACTGTTGGTGGTGTAGTTGCCTTTTTCGTTGAAACAGCTATAGCTTCGAAAATCAGGCGGCTGGGCAAGGGATTGAGTGCTGATGAGGAACAGAATGGGAGAAAGGAAGAACAGTAATCTTGAGGAGACCGTTAATGGCGCCATTCTGTTTTGTACATTATGGTTGGTCAAGATCAAAACTGTGTTTATATACTTTTTATTGTGGCAAACGGTCAAGAAAAGATTTGTGTGTGAGATTTTTCAAACTGAACATTTGTTGTTCAACCTGCAAAAACACCGGACACTCAATATTAGTGAAAAGTGCAAGAATAGTTGTCTGTCTGATTACACACAATATTAGAAGTCTCAAATTTAAATTCTCTTTACGTGTTGATAAAAAAAAAAAAAAAAAAAAAAAAAAAAAAAAGAGAGAGAGAGAGAGAGAGCATACTACATCAAAAAGAAAATGTAATTTATTTCTCAAATATATATGTCATGTAGTATAATACTCGGACTAAATCCTGCCAAATCCACGATCAACCATATTGAAGAAATATATTTTACGACTAAGCAGCCCATAAATTATTCATCAAAATACTTCTTTGACCATTTCACACTGTTTTAATTAAAATGTAGATGGAGACTGGACTGGTACTGATTTTTGACTTTTGAGGATTGATTGAATATTAAACCATTGATTGAAACGGGAGTAGTTGAGGACAAGGTAAGCATTCCCTGCTGTGGCGCGTAATCTGGGTCAAAGGAAAGGAAAATTCCAAGCAAAAGTGATGTACGTAGTTTTGATCCAACTTCTAAATCTAAAGCATATATAGGAAGTTCATGAGATTGGGAAAAGATCAATTTTAGGACGTCAAACATTTGAAAACAAAATATTGATTAACTATCCACGTATTGAAATGAGTCTCTTCTTATAAGTCCTTAAAGAGATCTTAGTATGCCCTGACCTTCAGATGGAGTAGCCTCTCTCTCCCTAAATCTTTTCTCATAAAAAAGATGAAAGTTATTCTCCTCTCCACTTCCAGTTAACAATGTGGGTCAACCCTATACAACACCAATGCATTCCTCCATAATTGAGATTACAATAATGAATATGGTGACAAGTAATTTTTTGACGTGGTTAAAAAAATATATTTAACTCAGAGTGACATCAATATTATTTATAAAATTTGAAAATATTTTAAACTGAATATTAAACAGAAATTCCTAACAAAGGGTACATGCATGCATCCTGCCTTTGTGAAAAAGTATCCATTGACCGTGTTTCTTATAGTCAGAATTGACTGCTTTTCTTTTTTTTAAATTTTTTTTAAATTTAATTTTTAATGAGAACTGAAATGTTTAGGGCCCTAAACCAATTTCATGGGGGAAGCCAGCTACAAAATGGATGGATTAACTTATAGCCAAGACCATAACCATAACTCTACTTGTCAAGCCCTATCAAGAACCTACCTAAAACAATGAAGAAACCACACAGTTTGAAGGAAAAAATGAACCAAAGGGATATCCTAAATTACATCAATGGCATGTTTATTAATCCGTAATTAGATTAGGAGGAATTGAATTGAGGATTAATTGAATTTAGGAAGAGTTGGATTCAGAAGAATTAGATTCCAGATTCCTATTGAAGTTATTTATTAAACCATATGGAATTGGGGTAGGAGTGGTACTAATTTCTAAAATCTCCTCGTTGTTGGGTTAAAGTAGATGACAAATTTGAAATTTTAAAAATTATATGAGGATATAATGGGTAAAAAAGATGAATTCCTAATGAGTTAATTCTCCATGAATTAGAATACCACCTCTCCCAAGAATTGAATTCCTCCAAAATCAGGAATTCAATTCCTAATTTCGTGTGGGCCCCCGTTACTTTTCAATTATTTGATGTGAAATAAACACAGGAATCCTGAATAGGTGGAATTCAATTCCGGATGAGAATTCCAATTCCTGATTAGTAAACACACCACAATATAATATCGTTTTCACTATCGAGGATATATTTGGGTAATTAATGAAGCCTCATTTTCTGGAGCTTTGTTAGAGTTGCTCTTGTCTCGATCCAATCATGTTACCCTTGAATTGCCCTCCGATCCCAAAGACATGTCGAATCCAACGGTTCTGGGCACTAAAAATGGTGGCTGTGAGGGTACAGGGAGACTGAGGGAGTAGCTATTCAGCATCACAATAACATAAGCCATGGTTAGCCTATTTGCCACATTTTCTTGCACACACATAATAATCTAATGTGGATGCATCTCAATATTTCACTTCTTGAACCAGTCTTCAAGGTGGGATCTATTAGATTTGAAGCTGTCCCTTTCCTCCAACTTTTCCATGCCTACAATCATTTATGAATTAGAATAAAGTAATTCGAGATAAAAATTTGTTTCTTTCATTGCATTCAATTTCACTAATATATAAATACTCACATAGCTTAAAAGATCCTTCACATTCTCTCCACGACGAAAGCAACTATTTTTCTGCCCACTTATAATCTCTAAAATCAACACGCCAAAATTATAGACATCAGACTTAACAGAAAATTGCCTATGCATTACATGCCCTAGAGCCATATCTATGCTGTATATACCAATAAGAAGGTCAACATTGATTAGCATGTACGAAGATTTTGGAAATCGTTTATGTATCATGATATGCTATATATATATATATATATATATGGTTAAGTACTTGGTAGGTCCCCACAATTCGACTGGTAATGTCATGTGTTTGGTCATGCATGAACAACCTTGCCATGCCAAAATCCGAAATTTTGGAGTTAATTTTGATATCTATTAAGATGTTACTAGCTTTAATGTCACGATGAATAATTCTAAGGCCAGAATCTTCATGGAGATAAAGGAGCCCACACGCAACGCCTACTATGACTTTGTAGTGCATATCCAAACCCAGCTGTGTGCGCTTGACTGGGTCTACATAGTTATGGAAAAGCAAGACTCGATGGGTTATAATGTTTATTTAATGTCATAATTTTATGATAAGTTTTCATAGTGGAAAAGAAAAATGCAGAATTCCAACCATACCAAATAGGATGTGAGACTTGCGTTAGGGACAAATTCATAGATAAGAAGCCTTTCATTTCCTTCCAAGCAAAAACCCTGGAGCCTAACTAAATTACGATGTTGAAGCTTGGCCACTAACAATACCTCATTTTTAAATTCTACATCTCCTTGTCCAGAATTTGAGAATTTATTGTTTGAAGCTACGGCTATGGTGGTTTAATTGTTTGGTTGTGATGGTTGTTGGGATGCTTATAACAGTCAAATGAATAGGGTTTCGAAGAGCATGGATGAGGAAAGAAAAACTTAAGACTTTGAAGGGTATGATGTTTGTGACAATGATTCTAGAGAAATTTATGAGTTCTAGAGGTGGGAGGATAAAAGGAAAAGCTTGAGGCTTGAAAGCTACGGTGTTTATAGCTTGGAAGAGTATGAGAAGGAAGGAAGAGCTTGGAGTTATGATTTGCGAGGCTTTATAAGGAAAATTGAGGATTTCAATTATAGGAAAATAGAAGAAATGGTTGTGATAGCTGAGAAATGGCTGGGATGACCGCTGGAATGCTTGTAGCAGCTGAATGGAAGAAGGAAAGTGGTCTGGTGGTTGCTGAAGGGGGTTGATGGCTGCTGGGATGCTTGGAGCAACCAAGTGAGGGAGTGTTGGATGAGGGAAAATTGGTGCCTTTTGTTTGAGCCATGAATGCCAATTTATAGAGGGTGAGGGTTTTTCTTTATTTTCAATAGGTAAATGGAGGTGCTGGAACCACCTATTTCCAGTGGTTAAAAGGGAGCACTGGGGCATGCTATTTTCCAGCAGGTGAAGCTAGGTACTATAAACTAATTATTTCCTATGGGTAAAAGAAAGCCTGGAAACTGCTTGTTTCCAGTGGGTAATAGGAAGTGCTAGAAAATGCTTGTTTCCAATGGGTAAAGCTAGGCATTTGGAAAATAAGTATTTCCTATGGGTAAAAGGAAGTGCTTGAAAAAATATTTCATTTGCTCACCCACATTGGAGAACTCTAAGTAATGGGCTTGGACTTTGGTGCTCCCAAGTAGCTAGGTCAAAGTCTCCATTATCCAAGAGCTTTCGTGGGCCTTGTAGACCTCCGTAACATTCCACATCACAATCTCTCATGCAAGCCCCGTAAACCACATGACTTGTGTTCATGTGAGCTTAATAGGTGATTGGCATGGAAAAAATGTATTATTAGTTTGGCATGGCTTGTACACTGTTTCTATATTTATTTAATGAATTAAATCCCAAAATACAGTTTGGATTAACGCATGATCGACATTATATGTTGTATTGGACTTTAAATGTCTTTGGGCTTCCCGTGACTTTTTTGGGCCTCAACACTGGTCACATGACTAAATTTAACAGAAAATGTAATGGTTGGACCAAAGTGCTGATTAATAAAAAGTTGGTGGACCATTTGAATGAATAATTTAATTTATAGACCAAAATGTAAATCGGGTACAAATTTGAGGACCATTTGAGTAATTTACCCATTAAATAAAACAATTGAATATTGGAAGGGGAGTGCAAGGAATTTTTTGCTGTGGAGATACTGAATGTGGAAGTCAAGGCAAGAAGATATTGCAAAGAATTTTCTGCTATGGACTGACTGCTTCTTTCTTTACCAACCTTAATTAAGTGGGCATGCCGCATACGCTTAGAACATTGGCAGCAAAGGGCCCAACGGGAAGGTTGGGGGGGGGGGGGGCAAACCCAAAAACTAGTTTCCAGCAACAAGAAGCTGCCAGGGCAAACAATGGGGCCCACAAACCTGGGCAAGCCCGAGGGGGAGGCTGGCTCGAGCTCCAGCCCGCGAGCTGGGATGACGTTAGCACGCTGACATCACGATGATGTCAGCGCTGCTGTTTAAATTTTTTTAAAGCTGGCGCGTGCAATACACGCACCCGGTTTAAAAAAAATTTGACGCGCGCTACAGTAGCCGCCCAACGGCATGATTCCACGTGTCGCATGCTGGGCCATCTGATCTGCTTTTTAAACTTATCCAACGGCAGCCATTTTTTCGCGAATAAAAAAATCAAAAAACCCCCCAACGGCTCTATGCCACGTGGAAGCTCCTGGGTTTTCCGATTGTTTTTTTCCAGCAACCCAACAGCATGCAATTTTTTGCCCAAAAAAAAATAGAAAAAAAAATCATAAAAAATTTAAAAAAATACGAAAAAAATACTGAATTTTTTTTCTATAAATACCAACCAATACTCTTCACTTTTAACACCAACTCT